TTTTCTTGACACACTTCTGGCCTGGTGTCAACTGAGCATTGTTTAAATGCCACAGCCTACCTGACTATTGCTCCTGACCATTTCCATCCCTTCATGGCTCCAGTGTATCACAGTGCAGGATAGCGTACCCAGTCACAAGCTCAAATCATCTGGTTTCTTAAACGTGACAATGAGTACTCTGTGCTCAAATGGCCTCCACAGTCACCAGATCACAGAGCACCTTTGACATGTGGCAGAATCTGCATCATGGATGTGCAGCTGACAAACCAACTGTGTGATGTTATTATGTTAAAGTGGGCTAAAATCTCAGAGGAGAATCAAGGTTTTTAGTACCTTGGTGAATCTATGCCACAAAGAATTAAAGCTGTTCTGAAGGCAAAAGCGGGTCCAATCAAGTACTGGCAATTTACACAATCAAGTGGCCAGTGAGTATAAATATGTAAATCTAAATTTACATCTGAAGAAATGTTTGTTGATATGTTTATTTATGCACCACAGTGCTCTGACGACTAACGGAGACACACAGGGGACGCCTTAACAATCCTGGCATGACATCTTAAGGTTAAGGGCTAATCCTAGTTATTTAATTGTGTTAATCAGTGCCGGTTTCTAATGCCCCTAATAAGCTAGAGTTAAGAAACTGCAGCTAGACATCAGTAATACTAATAGAGAACAATTACGCTATGATGCCTTAATGTTTTTAAGTTAATGTTGTATAATCAACTTTGTCATGATTTAATGAGGACTAAAAGAAGCCTTTGCATGCCACAGATGCTGCAGAGAATTGAAACGGGACAAACAAAATGCAAATATCTGTCACAAGAATAGTACCTAAATTTGCTTGTGCACATAAAGAAAGTAAGTTCTTGAAGTTGTTTAGCAGAAAGTCCCACTTTACCAAATGAAAGTTTGGAACTTGCTGCCACATCTTAGTTCCTGTATGGACTTTTTCTCTGTTTAGAGGCCTAACTTGATCATGTGTGAAAAGACTTGTAATTGACTTTGTGATTGCTAGATGATTTAAATCCTGAAAACAAAGCTCGCAGACTCACTCTGAAAGCACCTAAATTATAATTTGATGAAGGGCTATTATGGATTTATTGCTTAGAGACAACACATTCATTTAATATCCTATATGTCATTTTCTTGTGTACTTTGCTATTACTTGATGTTTTATAACAAATCTGATTTGAGGTCACAGATTGACCTTTTTGACCATTTAGTAGTCGCTTTATTGGAAACAGCTGGCTGTATCTTTATATATTAGTTGTTGTAAAAGTACATCAACAAATTAGACAGATAGAAGTAACTCTGAGTATATTTAACATGATATGTTAAGATAATAATGAGTTTAAGACTGTGACTAATAATATGTCTTATGTCAGCACCTATCCTTAGAAGCAGGATAGACTGAGGGACCCCATCAATGCGAGGTGAGATCATGCCGGCCAGTGCTAGCTGTAGAGCATTAACACCAGTAGGTCATGACATGACATTTAATGGTGGGGATGAAGCAAGCATGCATACACATTTTTTCCCACCAAGCGAAGGCTCCTTGCCACCAATCAGCAGTGACACTTAGAGGGAATTAAGCCTCTGCGTCACACATGACTGTTTCTCATCTAAGTCGCATTTAAATCAGTTGGAGTCAGTGCACTGTGTCTGTGTTAGTTCAAGCTCACACCAAATATCACTTTTATTGAGACACAAGTTGACTTTACTGCCGTCATAAAGTTCTTCATTTATGTTCAGTAACAGCTAAAATCAAAGTGTTTGTATTTTGGTGAGTGGCAAAATCTCCTGGAGATGTATTTATAAAAAGTAGTCTCTATGCACCTCTGCATTTTTCCAGGTAACTCATGGGTTTACCCATTCTCTTTAATGTGGTACCAGCGTAGAGCTCATTGAAGTTGAGCCAGATGTCTGATGCATGTCAACTCTTAGCATAATTCATATTTTTTTTAATTATTTGGTACAGTTATTCAGTATGTTTTTCAGAATTAAAGTAGGATTGTAAAAGAAATGTCCTTAAATGAAATTGATCATCAAGTTAAACTGCATTGTTACACAAGATAAAATCATCCCAGTAAATTATGTAATGTGTGAAAACACCCAATGACACAACATCTCTCTAAAAGAAGCAGCCAAAGAACCTTAATACACCTTATTCTGTTGCAGATAATACTGACAATGAAGGTAATTGCTTGTATAATAAAAAGTACAATAGGCACTCAAAAGACCTAGTCATCAGGAACTGATTATTCCTTCGTGAGTAAGACATCCTAACAATTTAACAAAAGTATAAACGTGGTAACGGACTACTTTTCTTTCTGAATAACATCCTGCTTGTTTTGGGATTTTTCAACAATGGCAAGCATTGTGACCTCCTAACCGGTGTTCCACCGAGTGGCAAATAAGCAGTGGCCTCGACATGATTAGAAATCACTAAAAAGACATTCACATTAAGTCTGTGTGAAAGTTGAAGCAAAAGCTTCCTCGTGACCTGTGACCTGCTTTTGTTCTTAGCTCATTTGATGTCATCCACCTAATACGCTTAGACTTAACAAAGGCATCTGACACACACACAGAAATAGGTTTCAGGATTTTTTTGTTCTAATCTAACAGTGAGATCCAAAAGAATAAAATAGTTAACTATACACGATTAGAAAGTAAGTATGATTTAGAAGTAACAAAAAACTGAGGCGTTATGACACCAAAGTTTTAGACACCGGTGGATTTAACAAAAAGCAGAGAATAACACTGAGCACCTGATCGCAGTTGAAATGGGCTGTGCCATGTCCCACCCTGCCGGTCAGGGAACCAAACAATTCTGAGAAGAAGTAAGTCTGTCCTGCCACTGCAGTCTGTATTATGATAAGCTGCTTGAACACCATTGTCTCACATCACTTTCAAGTGGGAAAAAGAAACAACGCTGTCTGATCTAATTTAAGGTTTTATAACTTTCATGTTGTTGGCAGAGACATGCTTTGAGCCAATTGGAAGTTTTTCTTATGTTATATAAACGCTTAAGTCAGGAGAAGGGAAAGACTGAGATGGAAAGCCTGAGGTGGTCATTATGCGACAATATGAGATTTGCATCTTGCTCTGTGCTATTTTTGTCAATTTCACCTCAACAAAATTTGAATAACCATTATTACATTTTTACTGTAGCAACAACAAGACATGGGAGGGAGATTATTGTAAAAAAAAAAAAATTTTTTTAAAAATCACAACCCTGAGAATGCTTGATTTGAGCGTCTTTATCCTTGGATGACTTTTACTGCTCAACAACAACAAAAAATCAGGAGTGTTTAGTGTTTATAGACAATATTGTTAAGATGAATAATTGCTATTAGGTGGCTGATTTTACATGTTTTGTGAGGAAAAGAAAGAAGATAGCACTGCAAAGATTGGAAAATTGTTTTGTGGTTACAAGGTGCTGTTCTGTGCTTTGAGATAATGAAACTCCTCAACAAGTGAAATCCAAGAGATGAAAAGTTTCAAACTAATACAGACAGAGATTATGGCCATGAACCGATCAACGGTGAAAATGCAGGAACAGCATATTCAGTAGAAGACAGAGATGATTCATTCATTCCCTCTGACAATCGGTTGTGTCCTTTTATTAAGAAAGAAAGGTCAAAATTTATTAAATACAATATTCATCATGCACACATGGAGCACGGTGTATAAGTCTTGAGTCCCAGTTCCTTTTCTTACATTTTGCTTCCAAGGACCCAGAGTTGTAGTATTCTTATAGCTCTTGAGCATTAATCCTCCAGGCTTCCTGAAGGTCTTTCAAAGTTTTTCTTTGGACATTGTTGCTTTGTTTTACTCATTTTCAGTCCAGTCCTTGTACCTGACCATTTTCAGAGGAATGTTTTTTTCTTTTGTTCATTAAGCCACTTAACACTGACCCGTGAATCATTCAAGTATAAAAAAGGAACCTAATGCACCTCTATTACATAGCTTAACAAAGAGCTAATTTTGAATCTAGTAGAAGGCAATGGCAAAAACACATAATTTGTTCTTCTTTCGTTAGCTGAAGGTATACAAAGCTAAGTTTTGCAATTTTTTTTGGCATTAACAAGGTGGTTCCCAAAGGGCAGTTAGCTGAAAATGTATTCATGTGTCTGCCTGGTGCGCAGTGTGTCATTAAGAAAACTGGACAAGTGGCAGGCCTAAAACTCAAAGACTTGACACAGAACCTGAAAAGTTTCATTGAAGTTTCATCAGAAATGCTCAACAGTCTGAGAAGCAATTTTTAAGGTAGGGAAATGGAGAGAAGGATGAGGTTACACAAGAACAGGAACCAGGTTTTCTGGAGTAATAAATCCAAATTTGAAACTTTCGATTTAAATCATTGTCAGAATACGCAGATGAGGTCAGGAGAGAGAAAGGCTAGCTATAAAACACGGTGGAAGCTCTGTCATGGTTGCAACTGCATTTCAGTCAGTAGTGCTGGGGATCTTGTCAAAATTATGAACGCATAAAAGTACTATCAGATTTGGATCCACCATAAAATAACATCTGGAAAGTGTCTGATTTACCAAGGCTTTGTTTTTAAGCATGACAAGGACCCCAAACACACTGCCACTGCAATAAAAGGACACCTGGAGAGAAAAGCACTCAGTGGAACACTATCAGTCATGGATTGGTCTCCCAAGAACCTGGACCTTAATATTATTGAATCAGTGTGTGATCATCTCGACAGAGAATGGAATAAAAGGCAGGCAACATCCAAAGAAGAGCTTTGAATGTCCTTTTGTCTCATATACTCTGTTTCCATATTTAAAAAATGAAAGGGTACGTGCTGTACTGCACATCATTCTTGTAGGCTTGCTGGATTATTGGACTGCTCTAATTTAGTTATTTAGTTATTTCTGGTCTCCACACACAGACATGTCTGAAAGCGTACACAGAGAGAGCATGTGACTCCACAGCAGACACACTTACACACTCACTACATCTACAAAGAGGACATGGCAGTTTGTGTGTACCCTCAGACTGGTGCAGGGAGAGGTGCGAGGCTGTCTGGCTGCACAATCACTGCCTCCGTTCTCCTGTGTGTGTCCTTCCTCAGTTCTCTCCTCCATCCTCCACAAATGTATTTCTTCTTAGCAGAGGTCTCCCACGTATTGCAATTTCTTGGCACTGAGGCATGCAACCCTGCAAATGGATAATTCAAGCATGTGACCCACTTCTCATCCTCAGCACACGAAAAAACAGAAACATGTCTTTGGCGGCTGGCAGAGAGGAAACTAACTCATAATCCTAGAAACATAACAAAACATAAAAGAAAAACAGGTTTCTGTATTTTATATTTATTATAAGCTTAAAACTGAAATACCAAATAAAAGGTGATGACTTCTGGATTCTCAGAAGAAAAAAACATTTTTTTCACAATATTTTTTTTATCTTTAAACGAAACATTCAAACATATCAAACTACACACGCTGCTGTATAATATGGGTAGTAACAGACCACAAGACAGAATACAATGAAGCATAAACTCAGCTATGAGGCATGTTAAGACTGTAATCTTATGTCTAAGAACTTCAGTGCACTGAAATGATATCATATCAGAGGTAATTTGATTTCCTAGAAGATAAACAGTTGCTTCTGGGGGCCAAAAATGCATGCTGTCGGTGTGGGAAGGTTTTCTATAAACTTGGAGAAAATGCGTCTAAAATGAGCTGAAAGAACGATGATGACTAATGATAGATGATGATAACCGCCACGTGCCCGCCACTAAACTGCTGATCTAGGTTTACTCTGGCTTGCCTCTACTGTCAGTAACCTGCCCATCAAGTGGAAGTAAGTATTTGCCTTAATTTATCCACTGAGACTTTAAAGTACTTATACTAGATGATAGATGATATTAGAGCTTGACCAATGTTGGATTTATAAGACTGATGCTGATATTTGGTTTAAAAAATCCAATATTCTCTGTATTTACTCACTTACGTGTTGCCTGACTGCATTTGCATCTGCTGAAGGTATGTATTTAAACAGGGAAATTGCAGAGTTCTGTAGAGGACACACTATGCTGTGTCAACACAAGTAACATGGTTGAAGGGCGTTTGCCTCGTCCATTCTTCACTTTAAAAATTTTCATTTCCAAACACCAATATAAATAGCCAGTACTGGTGAATAAAGTGGTCAGGCTCCAACTGTTATTTATTTAAGTAGTTAGTTGTTATTTTGTATTTAATGCCACATAATCCAAAAGTTCAGACCTTAAAAGAAAAAATAAAACGTCGCTGAGATCTCCTTTTAGATACATCAGAGCAGAGTCAACTTCACAGTACAATCCACACACTTAATCTCATCATTTTTAGCAAGCATAGCAAAATACACACAGTACATGTACCGTTATTGCCAGTCTTGTTAGGGATTTTCCATAACAAACCTATCCGGGCACTGCTGGAGCGCCAGGTCATTGCGTGTACTGTCGCGCAGAATAGAACTACACTGATATGAGCATCATCTGTGTGAGTAAAACCAAAAAACAGAAGGGGTTTCCCATAATATACTCATGCTTGTGCTAACCATTCGGGTGTTTCATAGCTCTATGCAAAGATTTTTATGTCCCATTTATGTACAATAAATCTAAAGACAGAGCCCTCTTTGTCTAAATCTGTTTATTTCTTTTTATTTGTCTCATTTGTCTCACTGGCTGACGACAAATCAACACTTTGTGAAAACAGCTGATTCACTGTAAAAGCCCCACAGTGGTGGTGTTTTTTTCTTAATAAGTCTATAACTTTTGACGGCAGCATTTTCTAATGTTTTTCATTCTTGTACATTTTTATGTGAAGCTGTGAGTGTAAATCAGGAATGAAAGGCGTTTTTAGATTCTGGTGAATCAAAAAAATGTTTTTTAAAAAGCTGTCGTCTGCAGGCAATGCATTGCACCGCAAACTAAAATACTGGGGTTGTTCTTCGTGAGTACACTGAAAACAAAAAGGCAATTCTAAAGGTGGAGAAATAAAATAACAGATGCTGTGTTTATCCTTTCCTTTTAAATCTCTTTCACTGGTCCCTCTCTGACCCTTTTCTCTGCCTGTGTATGAATTCTTTATCTCTAGCTCCTCGCATTTGTCTTGCTTATTTCACGTTTTGCCTTCTCCTCCCTCCTCAGTCCATTTCAGCAGTCATGTGAAACAGTGAATGTAATTGCTCCAGGGAAGCGAGCTGACGATCGCTTTGCAGAGAATAACACAAACTCATTGCTCTTAGCATTTATGTCAGTGACACTGCTGTTGTTACTATTACATGTAACACATTTACATTTCTCTCTGATTGGCTCTTTTATTTAGAACAGACTAGCTGGCTTATTGCAACAGGTCTGACCTACTTTCAAGGAATTTGACCAACAGTAGATGACTGAGTTCATAAAACAGCGTCCCAAAAAAAATATACGTTAGTCAGCTGTAAGTACTCAGCTAAATAGCATTTAATCTGGCTTTATTGTGCCATATTTCATTAAATTACCTAAACAGAATCACTGCTGAAGGAGGATGACTTCAGCTTCTGAATCTCTGGGTAAATAGGCTGGCTTGTAAGTCAGCATTGAAAGAAATGTTCAAATCACATACAAATATAATTCTGATACAAACAAACTGAGCTTCTAGGTCCACTAGACCACTGACAGGACTTTTGCACATCGCATAACTGAACCTGATATAAACCTGTCTACACAAACGTTTCTTTCTTTTTAAATAAAACAATATACCATGTACCACATACACCCGACACAAGCTGTGACTGACTGAATGTGCTGCCCTCTCGCTCATCAAGCCTCATTCTTTATCTGTTCCTTATTAGCATGATAGACATAAGTGTCCTCATCTTGTATTCTGCATGCAAAATCTCAGCGCAGAGCAGAAATCTAAACAGAAACGAATGACTCCTTCCAGTAATCAAAGGTGCAGCTTGAAGGCAGGCAACATCGTGGGAAATTAACAATGACAAATCTGATCATGCCTTTATGATGTCCTTGTTACCAGCTGGATGAGAATTGCAGTAAAGTGCATAGATGAATCACCACACTTACGGCATTTTGCTGCCTATGTAAAAATAACACTTTGTACAGGTTAAACCGTGTACAGCTTAAGATTTCAGGTAATGAAAATATTAAAGGTCTCAGAGTTTTCATTTGGATTTAGATGTTGTGGCTGGTGTTAGGAAAAGTTTGGAAATGATGGTTAAGTTTGGATTATATCTCCATCATATTTGCTATAGTTTGAACACAAATTAAAGCACCCACCAGTTACCCTGCACATCTGTTTCAACAATATCCTTATAACTGTTTAGGCAGTAATTCAGGAGGATCTACTCAAATTGAAAGCTTCTAGTACCTGTCCCCAAGCGCTATTCCTGCAATTTACAAACGTCCTTTTTGAGACATTAGTTAAGGTGGCATTTTAAAGCATTTCATAACGCAAGCAGGTCAAACTTCATCAAAGGAACATCTTTTAGTGCACGAAACACCTCTGGCAAGTTAAAACTCGGGATCCTGCTGTATGGCTCCTTTGTCAGGATGCCATGCAGGTACTGCAGGTGCTTTGTGAGACACACACACACACACACACACATACACAATTCCCTGCACGTCTTAGGTCACTACTGTTAACTAGTCCCGATCACTACAGGTGACATAAACTTCAATTTCTTTGATGAAACTCTAGATTGATGTGTTTTAAAATGAATTGCTGGCATTTAGCGTGATAATTTAATCGAATGCAGACATGTTAAAAGTCTGACTTGACTTAGCCCACAACAGCCTACAAAACAATAGCAACTGTTTAAAAACCCCAACTCACCTCAGTGTCCTGTGGAGCAGTGGTCGAGTTCCGACCGCGAGCTGCAGCCTGCAAAGTGAACAGCCTATCGGAAGCACTGGTAGACTCCCTTCAACCTGCTCCTGTCAAACTTCTCATGTGGACTGGTGATGAGCAGAAGCGCCGATTCTTACGGTGAATGCGCCGACACGAAGCCCACCTTCAGAGTTCATTTCCAGCCGACCGCACGGCAACTCTCGGGCACAGTGTTAAGTTACACAGACGTTTTAGTCCCGTGACACAAGTCTTCTCTGCGTGATGCGGGCTGTGTGTTAGTGAGATGCTGGGCGTAAGATGCGCTCAGAGAGGTCGCCCTACAACGGGTTTCCCCCCTTCCTCTTTTTCTTCGTCTTCGACTGACTGCAGACAGAGAGGCGTTGGTACGATGAGTCTACTCGGTGTCTTTCATAATATACTGCTCTCTCTCCCTCGCTTTCTCCTTTCTTTCATTCTGTCTCCTTTCCCCCTCTCTCCTCAGACAGTCTGTCCCCTCCTCCCTAATTTCTGCATAGTTCGGCGGAGCTTTATTGGAATCATGTAACCTACAGTGTCGTGCGTTTGTCAACAAGCTGTGAGCTGGTCATTCACCGGGTTCGTGTGAAAACATCACGCTTCTTCCATTTAAATATATGTTTTTTCAAAGAATATTTGTCCTAAGCTTTGATTTGGTTTACAAAATTTGATAGTTGAGCCTCCGCTGTGTACATCCCCCCTCTTAGTCTCTGTGTAAGCCTTTTATAATGAACTGTATGTTTGTGTGCGCTCCTTTCATTAAAGTGACAGTATGTTTTTACCGATTTGATCCTGTTTCTCTGCAGCTGTGCACAAAGAACAATTGTACCCATTGTCACGCCAGTGCAGATTCATAAAAGTCCCGTTTGGTTCTGCTGCTGAAATCAGGCTTGTGAGGGGATATATATATATATATATATATATATATATATATATATATATATATAAAGTTTTAAATGCATTTTTTTATGAGTTTGTACAGGTACAAAGTTTGTTTTTCATTTGTGAAGAAGCTACTGTTAAACAATTTTCTAATCAACCCAATACATCCACCTAGACACAAATATGAAATGCTGTCATCAAACTTTTTTCTTCTATTAGCAGAATAGTGTCCACATCATGTTGAGCTCAACAATGTGCCACTGCTGTCCCTGTGTGAAGTGTTTAGATCTTTATGCATGACAGCAGCATACACCTTAACCCCCTCGTCCTGGAGGACAGCTCAGTTTTACGTGGGTAAGTAGTAGGAACAGGAGGTGACGGGTAGCAGATTTCCGTAGTGTTCTTGTAGCACCTGTCCTGCCAAGTTGTATCTGATTGCACTGGCGGTCACAACTGTCAGATGGTGCACATTACAAAAAGCATACAGACACGCTGGAGTGTCCTTGAATTTTCTCATTCAGTGTCTCATTCAATCTTTGTCTTCAGAACCTGCAGCTGTCTCATTCAAGTAGGGCTCAACTACCTGTTGCATTAATACAATTGACTTGCAGGGTTTTGTGTGGCATCCTCATTCTCATTTAATCACCGATGCATAAAAATGAAGCCCTCACAGGTTAAAGAGTCACACTTGTATATTTTGATTATTTAACCCGACTTCTAAAAACGTTGGGATGCTGTGTAAAATGTAAATAACAACAGAATGCAGAGATTTGCAGCTTTCATAAATTCAACATAATATTTGTTTAAAGTGAGAAATGTTATGATTTTAACAAAAATACTTTGAATTTGATGACAGTAGCACATCCCATAAAAGCTGGGACAGGGTTACTGAGTACTAACAACGGTCCGTAAACGTTTGGGAACTGAGGAGACCAGTTGGTTGAATTTTTGTGAGAGGACTGTTGTCCCAGTCTTCTCTACTTAATATTCCTGGATCTACTTTTTTGTCTTTTTCATTTCATGATGCGGGGAATGTTTTCGGTTGGGGAAAGGTCTCGACTGCAGGCAGATCAGGTCACATTCTTGATATAAGAGCAGTATCACCTTATGAAGTTTAAAAATTTGCATTAAAATTAACTGATTAAAAAAGTTGCTGTTATCTAATGTACAGTAAGTAATCTATGGGCTTTACATATGCAGACACATGTTGCTAAGTTAGCTACTTAGAGCCAAAGAAATGTGTAATCAGCAGGTAACAAAAGTGTAGGAGTGTAAGTGTGTGCATGAGAGATGGAAGAAGTTTCAATTTCTGAGCAACACTGAGCAAAAAAGCATCCTGTGCCATATGTAGCTGTGTTTAAGCAGGACTCAGAAACCACTGCAGTTTTGCTGCAGATTGTTATGAAGCGTAATAAGAAAGATCTGTAATCACTGGTCTGCTTTCCTTCCTGGGTGTTAGGCTGCTTTTCTGTGCTGTTCCCTCTAGATCCAGGGGCGGGTCCTGTCCTAAATCTACATGAGTTTGCAATTTTAGCTGATCAGCTGATCAGGAATTTTATTCTAAAATGATACTGCTTTATTTTTTTGAGAAAATAAAAAACAGCTTTCAAATGAATGTTAATGTAGAACGTACAATAAAAATCATTCCTTCTGGTTCTGTCCATGCTCTCATTTAATGGTGCTGTGATTGTAAGATAATACTCTAGTCCAGTGAGCACTGGCGCTACCTCATGCCCTCCTTCTGGAGATGCTATTCATAACCTGATTATTTCTGGTAATATTATGCCTCTCTTTCCTTTCAGGCCGTTTCTGATTACTTTAAAATGGAAGTTGTCCTTAGAAGGGTGCTCAATCCTTAATAATTCTGGCCAGTCTTAAAATTGTTCTTTCCAAGGTCCTAGACAAGCTATAGCAGAACAGTTGAAATAAAAAGTAAAAGAGAAATTTCAGTTGGGTATAAGGTTTGGGTCGGTTAATCGTTGGGCTTGCAAAGCATCTTGTCGGGAGATTTTTTATTCCTGTTTGCTTGTCGGCAGCCTTTGACATCACTGATCACAGTGACTAAAGTCAAAATCTTAAACTGTGGGCATTGCGATTTGTTTTAGTTTTTCTATCTTCAATGCTTCAATCAATCTGTTTGGACATTTTGAGTTATAAATCAACACAAACACATCTACAAAATGGATCTGGAGTTTCATTCTTAGGCATTTTCTTTTTATCCAGTGCTTAACAGATGTCTAAAATTAAGAGTGTTGGAAATTGTCAAAATCATTTTTTATGTTTCTGTAATAATCCACCAATATGCACAAGCCTCTTAATCAAATTAATATTTTTACTGTTGAAACATAATACTTTTTGTTATAACAGATAAGGGAAAACTTAAGCTCTTTATTTAAAGAACTTTATGTTTTGCTATTTTGTCTAAAGGACTTTTAAGAACTTAAGGACTCATTTAAAAAAATAAAAAAATGGCATCACTAGTAAGATTAAGGCCAGTTTCACATGTTGTGTCCAGTAGGGTCCCCACGTTACATAATTGTGCAAACAAGAAAATATAATAACAGATGTGCTAAAAATTTTGCACACCTGTTAACTCTCTCAAGGCAGACGTTGCCGATTTGCAACAGTTAAAAATTAACAACCTGATTACCCCACATACATATTTTATGAGGTTTTTTTTCTCAGAAGTACCACTGCAGGACTTGGTTGTGCATTAGCAACAAAAAACTTAATTTGAGCCTGAGAGGGTTAAGATCAAAATTCAAGCTTTGTCCAAAATTTGCTTTTATGTTACATTTTCAACACTGACATTTAAAGGAAAGCGCCTACAGCAATCCAGTTTTCTTTTTTTACTATCTAACATTGTAATTTTACACAGTCCCCACAGTAACTGGAGTGGGGACGTCTCTGTATCTTTACGAGAGCTTTATAATTACTTTGGAGGCTCTGTAAACTAAGGTGTTTTTGGATTTATCAGCTTGTGGTAAACACCCACTTATAATGAGAACCGAAAGGTCAAAATGCAGCAAAAGATTTCCGATTTAGTCCGTGTAGAAGTGATCATAGTGAGATAAATGAAAGATGACATGGGGAATGTGAACGGTCTGAACTGGCTTACTATAAACTAATGGTGGTGTGTGAGTGATGGTCCCTCCTTCTGATTCACTACACTTGATTCCTGTGCATAGTCATTATCCACAGGAGTCACAAGTCGGATTTAAGAAGGTCAGGGATTATGGGAAGAAGGAACAAATGAAAGGGAATAAGTAAGGATTTTTGATAGGTGTGGAGATGGAGAGATGGTGGGAGGGAAGAAGAGATTATGAGAGAGGACAGAATGACCAGAACTGACTGAGAGTGAAAAGAGGAGGGGGGGGAGGAAGTGATGGGGAAAAGAGCAAGCGTCTCCCTGGAGAGCGTACATGTATTCCTTGCAGAATACAGAATGAAAACTGAGAGAAAAATGTAGGGCACTGGCTTGTGCATAAACCATCTGACTGAAACGTAGCACATCATAAAGATCAAGGGTAGGGCTGGGTATCGTCACTGATTTCTAGAATCGATTCAATTCCGATTCACAAGGTCCCGAATCGATTCGATCCACGATTCGATTTAATTCGATTTGAATCTGGGAAATTTTGACAGTCAGAAATATTATAATTCAGATCAATACATTTACATTTTTGTATCTATAAAAAGGAAGCTGACACACGCAAGACTTTATCAAAGGTGTGAGCATCACAGCAGATGCCTTTGTGTCAAAGTAGCTGAAGATAAACACAGAAAAACATGAAGGTGATTTTTCTGGCCTGGATTTTATAAAAATATTCTGCAGTACATCAAAAACGAAAGAAAACCATTAATCAACACATGAACATTACCTCTGAAGTTACAGCAGTTTTATTAGAGACATGGCTAAGTGTTTTGCATTTTGCATAATTTTAAAAAGTTTAAATTTGTTCAGTATTGAACGGCAGAAATTAGGTTTTCTTTTCGGAAGTATATAAAACGAAAAAAAAAAAATCGGCGGCCGACAGCGCTGTAAACTTGTGCATAACAAGCAAGCGAATAATGAAGAAAACAGTACAGAGAGAGAGAGAGCTGTGCATCGTGGTTGAAGCAAAACAGTAAAAGTAAGAGTGAATACATGACGATGTTTATGTGAAGCGTAGTTTGGATCTTCTTTTGCTGCTGGTTCGGTCAATATTGTTTGGAGAGACATCAAACTAACAGCTTTGGAATCAGCGCATAAAGGGCGTGAACACAAAGCGCTGACCCGCAGACAGATCAGAATCAGCGAGCTGTCGGCTTTCAGCCCCGACCGTGAGAAAGGCGACATCTAACTGATTCTGATCCGCGGGTTGTGCTGTGTGTTTAAGTCTTTGTGCAGAATCCGTGTACCTGCTCTCATTTACTGTCTTAGCTGTTTGGTGGTTGTTGAAATTTTGTGAGATTTCACCAGAGATTCTGTCATTTTGGGCAAAATAAATTTATATTAAAAAATCGATTCAGGATTTTAATGAATCGATTTTACGTAATCCAAGCCAGAAT